TGGATGTAGCAAGGGGTCTTCTAGCTGTTTCAATCAATCTAATCTTTCTCTATTTTATTGACTAACAGGCTAAACAAATCCATAGACATTTTTATTCCTAGTAAGTTAAAGAGAAAAAACAGAAGCTAGGCATGTTTGACCTCTAGTCAAGAGGGTTTAATTCTCTGTGTTGCAATTCTCCCAAATGGTGAGAAAGCAAGAATAAACAATATAACACCTATCATATAGCAGGAACTTTCCACATAACTCCTCCTTAATTTTTATAGCAATCCTTAAAGTAAATATTAGTTCTATCCTACAGATGAGAAGAAAGAGATTTTGGAAAAACTTGCTTATGGGTAGTACAATAATCTATGGAGTTGATCAAGTCTAGAGTGTTTATTTGCTTCTCTCTGCTACACCTAGCTCTAGTTCCTACCAAACTAATCTTGTTTTTAAGGGAGCAAACACTGTCCCATTTCTCACTCTTTGTTTTTAGGAATGATTCCTCCTTCATAAGTGCCAGGTGATTCATTATTAATTCAAATCAGAATGTTTTGCCCAAAATAAATCCCTGCAGGTTGGTTATATGGAAAGAGGATGGGAATGGCTGTTGATAATATCATACATTTAATCTTTTTAGAGTCCCTACTGGCTGTCTTTATAATTCACCAATGCTACTGAAGAGGAGTTGGAGGCAATTTGGGGAGGTGGAGCTGATGAAGTGAGTTCCAGGTTTTAAATGTGCATGTTACTCCCTCTTAAAACAAAGAAACAAACAAAACAACAACAACAACAAAAACCCTTTCTCATTAGGCAGGTGCCTTTCTCATTAGCTCATGCTTGTATTCCCAGCTACTCAGGAGGCTGAGGCAGGATGATCCCAAGTTCAAAGACAGCTTCAGCAATTAATTAGACCCTGTCTCAAAAATAAAACGGGCTGGGGATGTAGCTTAGTGGTAAAACACCCCTGGGTTCAATCCTCATTACCATTTTTTTTTCTCTTACAGCTGTACAATGTTGTAATGCAGTTGAGGGTAACCTGTTACTGTCAGTACTAGGTTGGAGGGCTAGAAATATTGTTGCTGAAAGCTCAGTCCTTGTTCCTGATGCCAATTCAATAACAAGAACATAGTTTTTGAGAAAAGAAAAAAAAGAAGGTTTTTTGCTCTTCTAGCAAAGAAGAAACACAAGGGACTCCAGTCCCAGAGGCTGTAATTCTGCCCATCACTAGGAACAAGGGGCTTTTAAAGAGATGACTCAAAGGCTACATTCCACTGGTTCTGGGTCTGGAGTTGTAATTCACTTGTTAATTTGGGAGATACTGGTACATCCTCAAAGTCTGAATTACTTTGTTCCTATGGTGGGTGTATACTCAGGGACAGATAATTCTGCCAAGGATTGGGAAGAAAGGTAATCCTGTTTCTCCTGAGATTAGGGAGGGGGAGATATTAAGGAAGAGCAGGGTGAGAGGAAGAGAAAGAAATAAGTCCACTTTAAAAATAAGTTGCAGTAGGGGGCTGGGATTGTGGCTCAGCGGTAGAGCACTTGCCTAGCACATGCGAGGCCCTGGGTTCAATCTTCAGCACCACATAAAAAGAAATAAATAAAATAAAGCTATTGTGTCCAATTACAACTAAAAAATTAATATTTAAAAAATAAGTTGCTGTAGCAGAGCAGCAACGGTTATATTCAAAGCATAAAGTGGACCACTGTTACAATGTGATCAAAAGTTGCCTTAGCCTCACTCTGAGTGGTGACCACCAGACACTGAGAGCTGCCATAGGCTGCCATAAAAGGGTACAAGAGTAAGGAGGTGGAGTTAAGTTATATCTCAGAAAATGCTTTCATTAGCATCCTCCACCTATCCCACCGGCAATACCTGACTGGGTAACCCCATCACTGCCAACGAAGAGGAAGTCAGTGCTTCAGCGCCCAAATCCAGCCCTGCCCGTCCTTCCCACCTTGAACAAACCTTTCCTGTCCCCTCATTCCTTCTTGAAATCCACACCAACCCTGCTACCCCTCCTGAACCTTACTCTGTTATTGCAGACCCCAAATCTGCTCCTACAGCCATTTGAGACTCCAACTCCATGGTCCCAGCACATGCCAGCCCAATGGCCCTATCAGTTGCTGTTGCCTTCTCCACTGCCTCCCTAAAGAAGTCAGTATTAAAGAACCTGAAAAGTGAGCTCAAATCCATAGAAGAATCTTGCTTTGGCAGAGTATCATAACAGTTACCTGGGTAAGGGTGATGGGCGACCAGAGGGCAAGTTTTTTGTTTTTTGTTTTTGTTTTTTAAATTACTAAAACTGACAAAGAAATTGGAGAAAAGGAGCTGCCTGATTTCAAAGCTCCTTCAAACTCCCAAATACAGGGTTTTGAAACATACTTGGTAGCAGAGATAATGTTCAAAACCAATTTGCCTGATGATACAGAATTGTGGGATTCAGAAGAAATAAGAGGGAGATTTGATAACTAAGTTTAACAGAAATCCTTATACAGTTACAGTGAAAGAGGATGAAATCTCTTACTAGGAGAAAAGAGGCATGAAAATGTGTTACTTAACTGACTTATCCAGGGGAGTTCTCAAATTGATGTTACAAATGCCAACCCCAGTGTGGGATCAATGGATAATAATATTAGTTTAAAACATAATTCTATGCCAAGCATATTATTATTTTTTCATTCTGCTTAACCTTTATAAGTGTCCAAATAAATGCAGGATTTTAAAAAACACAAACTCACTGACAAGAATGCCAGTGTAAGCAAAAGACTATCAGCTATATACCATTTTGCCAATCTTCAAAGTAATTACTGAGATTTACAAAGATTTTATTCATGTGGTGAGTGGTGAATATGTTACCTTCTACAATCTGTTTTGAAGCCCCCAATAGAAAGATTAGTAATGCCAGAGCAAGCAATGGTGTCATCAATGAATGAAGAAGAGCTAGAAAAAACAGTAGTTTTACAGTATCCTAGTGAGGATACTGGAAAGAAGGAAAAGCAGGAGCAAAAACTTCCTCCAAAGGAAGACTTTTCTTCACTTGAATCATCAGAGATGACTGGAAGAAATGATCCAATGATTGCTTTTTCCAAGCAACAAGAGCAAAAAGAAGAATCATGGAAAAAAACTAAACAAAGGGATTCAATGCTCAAAGTTGTGAAGTTGCAGCAGAAAAATTCAGGTTCAGTTCTGAAAATGAAAGTTTGACCTGTTTGGAAAATTTACAGAGTAGATATATTAGAAACATGGTTTGCTATAAACATAGTTTCATTAATTTCAGAATAGTCTCTTTTTCTTTTTTTATTTGTTATTTTTAGGCTTTTTCTTATAAGTGTTAATTTGGGAAGAAAATGATCAGCAAACATTGACTACTTGTAAACACAATATGTTTATTAATCCCAAAACATTCTATAAATTTGGACAGAACAACTATGATACAGATGTAGCATTTACAATTATGCTTTTGAAAGAATTGTTTGAATATCTTGCTTTTGAAATACAACCTAAATGGTTGCGTATCAGCTACAGTAAATCGTTAGAAATGCAATCAGTCAATTGTTTAAATATTGAATTGTTTTTGTATTTAACAGAAATTTTTGTATCCCCATTATTGAAAGTTTTACAACTAAATGGAAACTTAAAATCAATTTTCTAGATTTTAGTTAGTATATATTTGTTTAATAATAAATAAACATAGAAAACAAAGTCATTTTATTTTTTACAAAAGCTTATTTGTACAAAAATATAAATTTTGAAATTAGAAAACCAAATACTGAAACATTTTTTTGTTTTTGTTCTTTTGTAACACATCACTCATACCTCTTGATTCCCCAAAGCCCATGAAGAAAGTCTAAATACCCAAGTGGTACATAAAATGTCTTGTGGCTACTTTTCTTACAGCCATTCTTGGCCTTAATGTAACTAAACTGCACTGAACTTATCATTCCCCCAAATACCCCATTCACTTTGTTAACACTATTGCCCCTGTAATGTCCTTTCTCCTGTTTATCTGCTCAACAAATCCCTATTTATTCTTGGAAACTAGCTCAAAAAATGTTTTCTTTTTGATGCTTTTTATATTTCCCAGGAATAATCTCTCAACTCCATGACAACTTCACGTTTCATAATATCTACATAAGGATTATCTATCTCCCACTAATATTTATCATTTTTTTATCCTTAGCACCTAAGGTGGACCTTGACATATTGGCATTTTCTCAATATAGGTTTGGTGAATGAAAGAATGAGGAAACCAAGCATTGTCTTCAAAAAGCTTGGGAGTTAATACAGCAGCAATTCAAGGTTTTTCAATATTCAAACGAAAAGTAGCTGCTTGGAATTAGTTGTCAGTACTGGAACTGGATGAAAATAGAACAAGGATGAGCAGACCAAGACCAGCAAGAGAAAAGTAAGGATCTGAAGAATAAAATGGCTCACTTAAAAAGTGACTAAATGTCAGGCCCAATTCTTTTTATATGTATAGATCTTCATGAGGTACTCAAGGTTGCCCAGAGTCTGGGTCCATCATATATTTTACACTTTATAGGCCACCATTTTCTTTCATGTGTGAACATACAGTGACTCTGGGACCTGACCATGAAAACTGTATCAAAAGTCACAAGATTTTCAGCTTTGGGGCTTTAGTGTAGGGATAGGTGAAGGAAGACATCCAAAAGGCCAGAAGTCTCTCAGGCATTTCTCGAAACTTCTGCTGATGCATTGTTTGATGTAGTATATCACGTCTAGAGAGCTCAGCAGTAGGCCTGCCAGAAGTACTGGAAAAAGGGGCATAGATATCTCACTGATCAGAGATCAGACTTAGAGAAACCTCAGCTTTCGGAAACAGCTCTGAACAGGGAAGTAAACAGAATTCTTCTTCCACAAAAATATTCCCTTCTTTCCTTAGCTTCCATGCCATTGTTTCTGGGATTTCCTGCCTCTGTTCAATATAGAACAAATGCCACTACCCTGATGAAGTCTTCAATGATTTCCCACCTAGATTGAAGTCCCACCTCCTCTGAACCTACCTTTCACCTTATTTAACACCAGATTTGTAATACTAGCTAAAGACCAACTTGGCAATCAGGCAGGGTAGGCTGAGGGATTAATAAAGGGTCAATCAGAACATGGGTAGGCACAGAAAGGAGGGCAGTGTTCCAGAAAGGGAGCAGTTGTTCAAAGGTCAAAGAGGGAGGACATCAAATCTGGTTGGCTCATGCACTGTTGGATGCTCTCTCTTCTAGCAGAGGCTAAGAGACGGGTATCCTCCTTAAAGTGGCGGTGTCCCTCCTCGGTGAGCCTCCAGAGGCAAGAGCGAGGTTTTGCATCAGCCTCATCCTGAACAGTGACTGGCACCTTTTCAAAGCTGCCTAGGAAGCAGAGGTTGTGGCGAATGGTGTTTTTCCAGCCATCTGGAGCTGTCCAGAAAAAGGGGAAATGCTGTCGAGTGAAATTGTAGATCTGTTGCACATTAAGACCACAAGGAGGGCTGTTTCTTAATGCTAGGGCAATGAGATGGCTATAATTGAGTGGGGGCCGTGGCCAGGATTTCCTTTCCTGGTTGTTAGCTTGCCACAGCTTTGGCTTCTGGAAGCAGTCCCTTTTGTTAAGGGCCATGAGGGCCTCAGAAGACTTGTCCTCTTGTTCCTCAGCTTCCTCTTCTGTGAGCTCACAGTCACTTGGGGAAGAGAAGAGGTGCTTCTGTTGGGGAGACTGATCACTGGAGGAAAGTGGCAGGGACTCCAACACTCCCTGAGCCTCTGAGAAGTTAGACTCTTCATCTTTTGTGGGTGCCTGAGGGGAAGAAGCCATGCTTGTCAGATCCTTACTATTGGGCTTTAGGGCCTCCTGGCTGCTGAGAGGGCACACAATGTTTGGGTTCACCCACATCCACAAGTTGGGTTCAGACTGAGGAGCATCTTCATCAGGACCAAGTTTCCACTCCTGGGGTACTTCTGGGGGCTTCATTACTCGTATTTTGTATTTAGCAAGGTTCTGCTCAGCTAAAGGGCTCTGGTCTGTGGTACAAGGCAAGAAGAACTCATTCCCCATGTCCCAGTCCAGAAGTCCTGGAACATGTCCATGAAGACTGTACCAGAAGTCAGGATTTTTTAGCTTTAGGTCCATCTTTAGTGTAGAAATAGGTGGAGGAAGAACTACTGAATGGATATAAGTCTCTCAGGCACGTCTCAAAACTTTGGTTGGGGCACTGATGTGTCTCACTTATCCAGGGAGTTTATGAGTAGGCCTTCCAGAAGTACTGGAAAAAGGGACACCAATGCCTCACTCATCAGTGGTCAGACTTGGAGAAACCTCAGCTTTCTGGAACAGAGATTAACACAGGGAAATAATTTAAAAGAACATCTTAACAGGAAAAAAGACCCAAGTGTATTTCCCTAGCTTTCACTGGAAGCAGGAGTTCCCCAAAGGCAGACCAACAAACTTTGAATTATATGAAAACTAGGGTAGCTTGCATACCAGGTGATTATTTGGCCTATCTTCCAACTCTTGCTGGATTCATTTAATAAAAGGACAGATACAAGTAAAAATCATTTTATTTTTAAAGTATCTTTGGATTTTTTCAAATGTTTTTACATAAATGACCTCAGTAAATTTTTCTGACAGACCTGTAAACTAACATAAAGTGTATTCCTATAGGTATGAGAACAGATATTTACAGTATATTTTGGAACAAATACCTAAATAGGTAGGACAGCTCCATCCACAGCCTGGTTTTTTTATCCCTTCATGATACCCATTGCCTGCTGATCACATTCAACATAAAATAGGCAGCGATATGTGTAACCCGAGTTTTAGAATAAAATGGTAACTATCAGAAGATAGCCCCTATTAGTCTCAAACCCATGCTAGAACCCAACCTTGTTGTTATCTTCAATCATCTACTGAGAAACAATTGGTTTCCCTTTCTCCAGATTACCTTCTCAGGAAATGAGTTTTGAAATATACTTTGAAGATAGCAGGTTCAGTGGTTAGTCATGCCATGCAAGGTCCTGGAAGCTCCACAGCTCATCTTTCTAGTATGTTTATGCCAAGTAAATTTTTTAAAAAACAAGATGAGAAGGTTTCATTTAGTCCAGTCTACATAAAATCCATCCATAAAGTGTTTGATTTCACTAAAACCATTACACAGGACTATATCACAGAGGTATGCAGCACATGCTAATGGAAGCTACTAAAGGGGCACACTAATTTCCCTATGGTTTCTCCACTCTCTGATTCTAATCTATTCAAAACTCATCCTCCATACAGGCTGCCAGAATGGCCTGTCTACTGCATCAATATAAAATTAATAATAAAAATGATATCAGCTGTTAATGCTTTATTGAATGTTCTAAAATACTCTGTGATTAAATTTATTATTCTTAAAGGAGGAATTAAACTCATTAAACTCATTAATGGAGTGATTACTGTTACTATTCTCCCTTTACAGAATAAAAATCATACAACACAAAAGAAGACTAAGTTACAAAGCTAGCAAAAGGCTGAAGTTCAAACCCAGATAGCTTTGCTGCCAAAGATGTGCTTTTATCCACTATGCTAGTCTCTTTTGTTTTTTGTACTAAAACATTAAATTCTATAATTCAATGAAGTATGAAAGGTCCTCCAGGATTCCACTCCTGCTTACCTTTCTAAGGGAACATCACTTTAGCTTCTTTACTTTATACTTCATATGCTGGAAATTCTAAACTGCTGGGATTTTCACCAAACACACTATCTAACTTTTGCCTATGTAGCTCTATTCAAGAACCTTTGCTGAGAATGGCCTACTTGCAATTACCTTGACTAGGTTAACCCCTACTCATTTTTAAGACTGCAGAAATGCTGCATTCACCTCCATGCAGGGAATTAATAGATCCCCTTCACAGTGGGGCACTGGCCTGGGCAAAACAGAGGACAGAACTTGAAATATTTATCTTATTATGCCAATATCAGAGATCCTAATTCCTTAAGTGCAGGCTCAAGTGTTATAGAATTTCTCTTCTATATTCAGCAGGAAGCACAGTTCAACACATAGAGACTGGCTACTAAAACCAGGTCATTACTACATAATCTATTTCTTTAAGCCTCATTTAAAATATTCAATATTTAGATATTGAGCATCTACCATGTGCCATGCAGGGTGTAATAGGCCTGCCAGATGAATAAGACACAACCAAAGAGGATAGAAATGCCTAATGGGAGTCAGACAAGTAAAGAGAAAATTAAAATACAGTATGATACATGCTAGACACTATGGTAAGATACTAAAGAGAAGTAAAAACCAGATGGTAGTAATCAGAAAGGATCCCCATAGTAAGTGCTTCCTGAGTTTAAAAGACATGCTACCCAGATGCAGACACATGGAGAACAGGCCAGCATGTGCCCACCAGGTAATCAAAAACTTGTTTTTTAAGTGAGCTCCAAAAAAGGAGTTTGGGGCACTTTACACACTCTGGAAAAAATACATAAACTCATACTTGTGGATATTCTGTTTCCCAGGCCCAACTCATCCCAAGTGTTAATATAAACAAAAACATCAGTGATTTATGAAACTATGTAGTAGGCAAAGTAGGATACAAGAACATAATAAGTTAAATTGAAAAAAAAGTGGAACCCTTAATGACCTTAAAAAGTATCTTTTCCAGCTGGGTGTGGTGGAGGCCTACACCTGTAATCTCAGTGGCTCAGGAGACTGAGGCAGGAAGATGGTGAGTTTGAAGCCAGCCTCTGCAACTTAGTGAAGCCTTAAGCAACTTAGTAAAACCCTGTCTCTAAATAAAAAACAAAAGGGTCTGGGGATGTGTCTCAGTGGTCAAGTGCCCCTGTGTTCAATCCCCAGGACCAAAAACAAAAACCCCTTTTTCAGTATATGTATGTTTATACTTGCTCTTTCTTTTATACACCCACACATGTATGCACATACACAAATAGTCCAACAGTAGAAGCAACACACTGGCCTGCTTTCAATTTTCAAAAGCATTCCTATACCCAGATATTGGTTCCCATTCTGAATTGGTAAGAAGAGTAGCTGATACATGTTTTGGATGATAAAAAGTTCCAGTTTTATTTAATAAATTCTTTTTTGAGAAAGTCAGGGACAGTGTTAAAAGGATAGAAATTCACCTTCGCATGACTCTCACTACAAATTGTAATTTTGACCACACACATTATCATTAATTGAAACTACTTTTAATCAGTAAAAGAAACATGATGCTACCCCAATGCTTTTATGAAAAGGTAGTTGTAGTGAAAAAGAGCAAATGCTACAGCATATCTAAGTTTTGTTGCTTTTATATAGAAAAATGTTAAATGTTCACGGATATTTTCTCATTTTAAGTATATGTAAATATAGGTACATACTTGTTTCTATCAGTGGGCAAGTAAGAAAGAGTACAGGAAAAACAATGAGGAAGTCACCTGTAGTTTCAGAAAAACATATACCATACCAATGGCTGTAATCCTATGGGTTGTAAACAGCCTATGGGCTGCAAGCAGCCCAAGGGTACCCAATAAGAGAGCACAAAATTCAGCCTGAGCTCTCTTTTCCATACCAAGTGCCCCAGTTCTGGGCTGTGTTAGTCTACAGGAGGTACCTCTTTCTAATTCTTACAGGGGAACCATCCAGTTGCTATGTGCCACAAATTATGTACATGTAGAGAGGCCATCTTTTTTTAAAAAATATTTTTAGGTGTCAATGGACTTTTATTTTATTTATATGCAGGGCTGAGAATTGAACCCAGTGCCTCACACATGCTAGGCAAGCACTTTACCACTGAGCCATCACCCCAGCCCCTAGAGAGGACATCTTTTTCGTGGTATACATTGCTACATAGACTAGTAGCAATGTATACCAAGAACTGGTAATAGAAATTAATAATGATGGATACACATAATAGTCCAGTAAGTCCAATAGAGTGTTGCAAGATGACTAACAATATAAATATAAAGCAGAAAACTACTAAAAAAGACCCAATCCCTTATATTCTAGGAAATGAGTCCTCTAAGAAGCCATACTAATTATACCAAAATATAAATAAGTACTACATAAACTGTAATAATGCCAATATAATACATAAATATATCAAAAGACAGGATAGTTGATATTTCTAAACATGTAAAAATTAAAGAATGCTTCATTTTTGCTAAAGATAAGTCACCCAAAACAACAACAAAACAACCTTGCGTGATACAAAGGAAATTAGAAATACCATGAGGTAACAAATAAAACATCATCATTGAAAGGATTTCAGCCAATACCTTGCAGTTAAATCATTTTTCCATACAATCATATACTATTTCCCCCTAAAAATCAATTAGTTGATAATCTACATTCTGTTATCTTGGTATGTCTGAGATGGTATTTCTCTTTTTTTGCTCATTCTGGTAAGATTATTGATATCCTAAAAAATATTTTAAAAGTGAGAAGTAAAATTAGTGAAATCCTAAGAATATATCTAAATAAGTCTAATATTAACCCAAGAAGGAAAAATATAAGGGCAGAAATAAAGAAGAAATAGTTAAAACTATGATTTTCATATTTTATAATAGGATTAAAAGTAAGTTCATATATATATATATATATATATATTTGTATTTGTATAGGTTCTACCCCAATGAGTAACTGAGAATATAAAATGAGATAATTAGTTATCAATTAATGTCTAATGGGTATTAAGACCTAATTTAACATTATCCCATAAATATAAATTCTTAATTATGCTATTATGCTATTCTTTCTTGAGGGAATATAGATTCCTAAACATGAGTATGTTACACATTAATCATTTTGGAAAACAAAGAGGACTGATTTTAAGTACTATGCATGGAAATTTCACTTATCTTGGCAAACTTGAGTGGATTTTTAACACTAAATTTAGTAATTACAATATGAGCTACAAAGCCTCAAAGTTTTAAGACTTATTTTATTCTAAAGACTGGAGAGTCCTGAAACTGTGGGGTAAAAATATCTGTTTATTTGGAATATTTTTCCCAAGTTTTCTGAGATACTTTGATGATCAAATAACCCCTTGTCACTTACTACTTGTTTCCCAAGGGCTTGACCTCAAGTGCCTAGGAAGGGACTCTCTACAAAACAAAACATAAAATCAAATGAAAACTTTGTCAAGATTGCTATATCCAGGACAAATTTCACATTGTTAAATACAAAGAAATTGTTCTACAATTGGGATTAAGTGACTTGTTCAAGAACACAGAGAGGCAGAAAGTAAAGTCAGGATCTCATGTCCAATATGTTTCATACCATTTCAGCTGCTTGTTGTAATTCTCAAATATACGTATATTAAACATATTG